CCATCAAGTCCTCAAATAGTATCATTTCTGACTCAAGTTCATTGTGTTTGATTTCCAAATTGAACACTCCGTAATTTTCTCACTTTTCCCAGTTCAGCAGTCAAATCTCAAGTGTATTTATTTAGGTAATTGAGTAGGACATAAATGCCTAGTGTGTTTCTGAATAACAAATATTTGAGTGGACTTCGTGATTATCAAAATCTACAGAGACGACGAATAATAATCAAATTTTACAAATGGTTGACTGTATCTAGTAGCTTTTGTTTTCTTCTTCTTCCTTTTAAGTCAGTATTCACATTCCTTTCACTAGATTGGAAATAGAATGTCAACCTAAAGGATAAACTGTTGCTTCAGTATTGTTCGTCATATTTACATTAGTAGGAGCATGGATTCGCGGACATTTAATATCTCAAAAAATTAGGTTTCTTGTTTTGTTTCTTTTAGTTGTTAATATCTCCATCTTAGCTTTGTTCATTTCTAATCGTTTTAAACGAACAGTGTGCTGTGGAGAATGGACTTTTTAATCATTATTTCACTTAACATAAATTATTGAGTCAACTATTTTCAAAAATATCTTGAATGTTTATGAAGATTTGTGTATTTCACTTTTGTTTCAGTAGATAATGATCACTCGTACAGTATTTTCAGCCATTTTGTTAATGTTTTTATGTTGGATGTAAATTTCCTTTCATTGAACGAATTCTTTGTGATGTCTATCTTCAAAATTCTCATTGTACTATCTACAGAAGTGTGAATTGCTTTCAAGCATGCATCACTCACTGTGGTTCGTTGGATAACTATCGAAAATCGAGAAACATAGGAGCGTTATTTTTTCCAAACTTATGAATATTTGGATCTACATAGAACGAAATGGCGGCCTTTCAGTGATTCCAGGTTTCGGATAGTGTGTTAGCAAGGATTGAATGATTACTTCAATGCACCTGGAGTCAATTATTGAAGAACATATTCTTTCAAGTTAACAATTACCATTTCCTACACTTCTCTTCTTAAACACATTTAATAAATTTAAATACAACCACATTGCCAGACTATGGTGAATGCATTGTATTTGGTATATTCTTCTTCACCGTATAATAAGGATCATCTATAGTTATCTCGAAGACACTTGATTAAATGTGTCTGTGGTCTTAGGAACAAATAACTGAGTACTACAGAGGTAAAACAATGTGACAGTCATGCCGTATTCTTTCTTCTTCTAAGTTGATGCAGATCGCAGGACAAGCATTGTTTGGTAGATCTGACTACTGAGTTGTCGGTGATGATTACTGTCTTGGCAGATTGTCATTGTACATGGTATTGACGATGGATCAGCTGACATGCTGTCAATTTTGTGATTATTCTGTTAACATCATATCGAATGGATCACCAGTTAATGGAAAAATACAAGTTTCATTGGAATTATTGGAATGGAAACTAATTTCACGTTTAAAATAAAAAACTGTCATGATTTTGAAATTTGTTCTTTTATCTTACTATAAGAAATCATGAACACAATATGATTTCATTTGTGAGCAATTCATTTTTATTTTGAAAGCTGTATAACCACCAAAACATCATGTATAAAAGATGCAACTGTCAGTATATTGCAGGTTAGAAGACTTTGTAGTGTCATTCAGTTCCACGTTGATGAAATTTTCTTTTGTCCATCAAACAACAAACTTGTGATCCGTACTAATTTCTTGTAGTATTATGGTGTGTTCAATGCAAACAGATATTTTTTATGAAAAAATACTTGCATAAAATAATAATTATAAATATTGAGAATGCAAAAGATATATGTGAGTTGCCAAAACTTGAAAAGCCACTAATGGTGTTATGTTATGTTTATAACTCGGAAATGATTCGATTTGCATTATTTCGCATCTAATCTGATAGCTGTATATGGTATTTACTATTGCACTAGTGAAGTTTTAGCTGACTTTATCAATGTTTCATGTGGGACAACCAGTGTAACAGTTGAACTGTTCTGAATATTACTGGATAGCATGCCGAATTCATTTATCATGTGGTGTAGAATCATTAGAAAACGATAGAAATCTGTCACTGATGATATCTGGTTCATCTCTTCTACTACCACAACCTCAGCCTGATATCCTGTTTAAAGTGTTGGTCGCCGATTTGTTAGTGCTGCCGCTGCTTTGATAATCCATACACTTACATCTGCCTCAGTCACTTTCCGTTACTTTGAATGCAATAATCTACTGTCTGTAGCAGAGCTGCATTCTTACTCATTGGGTCGAATCTGAAGTTGGTGCACTCTGAGATCATGAAGTGATCACTATCAGACTACTACATTTTGGAATTCACCTGTGAACTACCATTCATGCACAACATTTCCATTCACTATTATTTAAGAGTGATTGTGATTATTTGTAATAATCCAGATAACTATTTAAGTCCACTGAAGTGCAAAGAAGTAAACTGAACATCGTATGAGCAGTCAAGTGTTAGAATGATTTACTCACTGAAGTAGTCCTCATTAATCCGTTCAATCAGTAACTATGTAATTTATGTAGGACTCAATACATTATGTTAAGCTAAGTGACTAGTACTCCTATTCTACTTCGCTCGACCCATTTACAATGATAAAATATTGTTATCAGAAAAGTAATCAATTTAAATAACAGCACCTTTCAATCGATTATAACCACGCCTGTAGACACTTCGAGGATACGTCAGGTCCCAAGTCCGCATCAAGGAGGATGGTTGGGCAAGGTATTGGCGCACCAAAACCAACTATAAACTAAGTTGTCAAAAAATAGCTAACGCCATGGGAGTTCTAAGAATAAGTATGACGTCACGTGATGAAAGCCGAGTTCCCTCGGAAGTCACGGGGCCGATGCCTCTTCTGACAACCAGAGCAACCATTGTTTTACGCAAATGGAACGTTCGAACATTGTCGGAGACTAGAAAACTACTTCAAGTTTCTGCAGAAAAGAAAAAGATACAACTTAGAGTTGCTTGCAATCAGCGAAACGCATCGGACGCAGGTAGGACAGCTGAGTCTAGCTTCATGGGAACTGCTGTTATTCTCCAGTCATGAAGAGGAAAATGCATCACATACACAAGGAGTTGCACTGATGTTGTCCAAACAAGCACAAAATGAACTACTAGGATGGCAATCTCATGTACCCAGGATCATCAAAGCATCCTTCATTACAAAGAAATAAGACATTTCAATGAACATCATCCAATGTTATGCACCTACCAATGACTACGATGACCACAATGACGACGTTAAAGATCAATTCTACGAAGAGCTGCAGTCAATTGTCGACAGATGCTCATCACAAGGACTGGTTGTCTGTTCGTACTCTTGCAAAAATTGAAGAAAGGGGAAACAAGAAGGCAGCAATCAATGTCAGCCGAACAAGAGCAGAGAAAATTATGGCACAAGCTGCATACACAGAAGCAAACAGGAAAGTGAAGAAGAGCCTCAGAGCTGACAAACGAAAATATGTGGAAGATCTAGCAATGACGGTGGAAATGGCTGCAAGCAAAGGAAACATGAGACAATTGTACGAAACAACAATGAAGCGATCTGGAAACTATCGTAAACTAGAACGGGATAATCAGCAACACTGAAGAACAGCGAAATAGGAGGGTAGAGCACTTTAAGGAACTATTGAATCGACCAGCTCCACTGAGCCACCCAACATTGCTAAGGAGAATGAAGCACTTTCTAGACGCACAACTTCGAGATTAAGAGGCTGGATTTCGTAAGGATCGATCGTGAGCCGACCAAATTGCTACATTACGGATCATTGTGGAACAATCAATTGAATGGAACTCACCACTCTACATCAACTTCATCGACTACGAGAAAGCATTCGATAGCGTGGACAGGAAGACACTGTGGAGGCTTCTTCGACACTACGGTGTGCCTGAGAAAATAGTCAACATCAAAAGGAATTCTTATGATGGATTCAACTGCAAAATCGTGCACGGAGGTCAGCTGACAGACTCTTTTGAGGTGAAGACCGGTGTCAGGCAAGGATGCTTACTCTCACCCTTTCTCTTTCTCCTGGTCATCGACTGGATTATGAAGACGTCAACATCTGGAGGGAAGCACGGTATCAACTGGACAGTTAGGACGCAGCTGGACGATGTGGACTTCGCAAATGACCTGGCTCTACTATCGCACACGCAACAACAAATGCAAGAGAAGACGACCAGTGTAGCAGAAGCCTCTGCAGCAGTAGGTCTCAACACACACAAAGGAAAAAGCAAGATTATCCGATACAACATAACGTGCGCCAAACAAATCGCCATTCATGGAGATTCTTTAGAGGATGGTAACATCTTTACATATCTTGGCAGCATCATTGACAACCAAGGTGGATCGGATGCAGATGTTAGGGCGCTGATCGGCAAAGCAAGGGCTGAATTTCTACAATTTAAAAATATCTGGAAATCCAAACAAATATCAATCAACACCAAAGTCAGGATTTTCAATACAAATGTCAAGACTGTTTTACGTATGGAGCGGAAACTTGTGGAACGACGAAAGTCATCATCCAGAAGATACAAATATTTATGAACAGCTGTCTTCGCAAAATACTTCGGATTCGTTGATCAGACACTATCAGCATCAACCTACTATGGGAGAGAACAAACCAGATTCTAGTGGATGAGGAAATCAGGAAGAAACGCTGTAAGTTGATACGACACACAGTGAGAAAATCACTCAACTGAGTCACAAGACAAGCATTCACATGGAACCCTCAAAGTCAAAGGAAAAGATGAAGGTCAACGAACACAATACTTCGAGAATCGGAGAAAGATATGAGAAGAATGAACAAACGTTGGGCAGAATTGGAAAGAGAAGCCCAGGACAGTATTGGCAAGCGAAGATTGGTCGATGGCCGATGCTCCATTGAGGGTACCAGGCGTAATTAAGTAAGTAAGTTCAATCGATTATACTTCCCCTGACGTGTTTGAACACTTGAAAGATAATCAAAGAAATGAAAACACATTTATTACAGTTTTAACAATATTTCTTTGTGATAGTGATAAAATGTTTGGTTAATTAATTTAAACAAAACAATTTCGTTATTGTTTTCAGTTGAACATTTGTTGTGTATTTTCTTAGAAAAATGTGAGACATTTGAATACCCTGTAAATTGTTGTAGCATCAATGTAATGTACAGTAATAAAGAGGCTAAACAAGCATCACCATCAGTAAGACGAAATTTTCCAAGTGTTGCTTGACCCACAGTCATATTTAACTAAAAATGAAAACAAATATATATGAACGATTAGTGATGTGCAAACAAATCATAATTAATATTTTCGATTCGAAAAGCTTCATTTTTGAACAGATTGACACCTCACTTATTTTCTAAGAAATTGTAATAGTCAATTATACTCGGTTAGTTTAGGTATGTATTCTAAGATTCGAATAGAACAGGTGTGAACTGCTCCCTAGTTTTCAGAGTTTATCCGAACGAGATTAGTCCACAATATGATCTGATAACAATCAGAAATATTTGAAGTGTTTTATTTATTTTTATTTTATTTTTCTTTTCTTGAACTTGTAGTTCATGTGTGTGTGAGTAAATCAGTGCGTAAAATCAGTTCATCTGTCAAATCAAATTGTAGACGCTGTTTTGAAATTCGTAGGAGAATTAGATCATCATCTCTTAATAAATGAATGTCTTGATAATATTTCATCGAATTGTATGTCACTTTTAAAATGAACACATAACTACGGTTTTAAAACTGTACTGTTGATTGAGGATAAAGTATGAGTGGTATTCGAACATATTTGTGCTTTGACGGGTTTATTATTGTGGTTATCAGAATTGGTTTTGTGCAAATTAGACTTGGAACACTTAAGGTTGCAAAATATCCGAAGAAACTGTAAGTGCATAGAATGACTTCAAAGTGTTCTGTACATGTTTATCCTCTCTTCTTAGTTAACAATCCTAATTTAATGTGGAATCTCCAATATCAAACCATTTGAATTGGATAAATGAGTTGCATCAAAGGAAAATAACTAAATGAATCTTTGCACGTTTACTAAATCCTGTATGAATGAATATGTTTCCAAATTCATAACTGCTGTTAACATTGAAATACCAAATTAATTTACTGAACCGAAATATGCAATATTTAATCGACAAACGATTCAGGATTCAATAAAATACAAATAAAATCATAACAATAATATTCCTTACACTTATTATTAAGTGAGATATATTTAACTCACCAAGGTTAATACAGCGATTGCGATTAGATCAAGTGTGATTACTGCTGGCTGAAATGGAAATGAATTAATCAATCACAATATACGTAATCCAACAGATTCTGAATCTCTGGATATAGTTGTTTGAGAGTTAGTCAAGTGAATGGAAATATTCTTTATTACTAAACATTAACAAAATATCTCAGTTTATATAAATATCACGATTCACCATGTCCATAAAATTTAATTGAAGAATAATTTAAAAACACATACCATATTATCAAAATAGTATGCAATAAAAATACCAACCACAAGAAGAGTACACGCGATGGTAAGAATTGTCAAAGGCCATTTCTTGTTTGTTGGTAAAAATTTCGGAAGAGAATCTCCAATTGTTGTGAATATGAAAAACCATGTCAAAGCAACTGACCATGCTTCAAGTTGACAGAGAATATGTAAAGACCTGAATGGAATAATTACCATTAAGGAAGTGATTACAGCCTGTAAAGAAGAAGAAATTCAATATTTCGCTTAGTTTTTATGAAAAATATTCATAGTTCACCACTAACTATTACTTCATCATTAACTTCGATAGTGGAAATCATAAGCTGATATTAACTGGACCAGCATTAGAAACATGGAACCACTGAACGACTCATTTGTATTACTATGGTACTTATTAGCAATGTGTGACCACAGGGGCTCACAGGCTTGAATAGAAACAAGGTTCTTCGATCTTGCTCCCGAACACATCAAGTCTAATAAACTCACAATTCAGATTTGAGATGACAGATTACCAGCGCCTCTTCAGTGAATGAGCGATTATTTCATACTCGTTTATAACCAAATCATCAGAGTGTATGAATGAAGACTAGCAAAATGGAGTCATGTGACCAGAGTTCAATAGCATTGTTTGAATGTACGGATTGGGTAAGTGATTTCGTCTTGAAAAGAATAGTCAAAGCTAGATTGTATTGTTCGTTCTAATGACAGTGTGGAGTACTTCCGTGAAGAGACTTAGACAGAAGGTGAGTACCCTCACCTCAAATCAGGCAGCTTTTGAGTAAAACTACGTTGACTAAATTGAAAGATCCGTAAAAATAATGTATTCAGATTTCTATTTGTAAAATGAAATGTAACGATGATTGGATGAGTTGATCGATAGAAAATAATCGACCCTATAAACTTTTAAAATATATTCAGTCTTAAGTGCAGACAAATAACTGAAGTGATTTAGTTGGTTGGTTATATACTAGGAGGTCACGAATTACAAGTTGATTGAAAATGGGAAAATGTACATTACAATCTTACGTATAACAGTAACATGAATAAATTTAGTGGAAACATCAGTCGTATTTTCTTCACAAGAATCAGTAGGATTACCATCCCGATGTCTAAAATACTGAAACGTAGGTGTAAACAGTACAGTGAAATAAGCTGAAATATTGAAAAATAATAATCTGTCTTATGCCATTACATTTCATTTTGAATTTTTATGAAAATTCATTAACCCGACTAAAGTCAACTAATATAATCAATTTCTATATATAGGCGGAACGAATGATAGCTGACAGTAGAAACCTACTGAAACGTTTCATCGAAATCTGAAAGTTTCAGCTGGATGTACATGGATCTTCGCAAAGAATTCTATGTTTCGATCCCAATCCCGTACGTCATTTCAACATATACTGGTCTAAATTTCACGGAACACCACAACAACTGGATCATTCATACGTATTCCAATAATGATTTGATCAATAAGACAGTTGATCCGAAAATTATTCAGATGAAGGTAAAACCTATTTCGCCTACTCAAACTTACTAACATTCGAAATCTGAAACTCTAAACACTTGATATCATCAACACCGCAAAAATATCAGTTATTTTCAAAAATACACAACTTTCTAAAAATAATTCGATTGGTCAATGGACTCAAAAACGTATTCTAAATTATACATAATATTGTTGCAGTAAACGTCAGTGGGGTACATGTTTGCATAGTCATTTCAGTTCTAATTGTTACAATGATTTAAGAAAAGATCTCACGGTATTCAGAGAAGTATCATTTAAAATACTGCAAGATACCACTGAAGTAAATCATTGAGATTTTACATGTAACGCACACACTAATAACAACATTCGAAAACAAAATACCATTTTCAAATGATGGTATTTTATGAAACAAGTGGCTCACATGAACACAACCTCAAGCGATATCCAAATTTCCTTTCGCATTTCCTTAAATTGTTTTCTATTTATGATTCATTCCTAAAATTTTAAGAACTTACATTTGTGACAATTCAAGTGTTATCGCAATCGATAACAATATTTGCAATGTGAGAAAAAGTACAATCTGAAATAATCCAATATCAATGGAATGACTTTCACTTGTCCACGATATTTTTTTTCACTTAACAAAAATTCCTTCTCGCTTGTCATTATGATTTGCATATTGAACATATTTAATGGTAGACTATGTAAGTTTTGACAAGTATTTTACCATTTCCTTGTTTGATTTGCGAATCCGATTAGTATACAGTTGGATAAAAATCAAAATCCTAAAATGGAATATCAAAGAGTATCGTTTTAATAATATACTAGTGATGTTTGCATCAAGTTGATATTTTAGAAAATATTAAATAAAATGTATCATACTTTATGTGTTACAGTTTTTTATATTGCACTACTATTATTCAGAATTCATGAAATCAGGGACTATGATTTGTTTGTGATTTACGTGAGAGGAGATTGCATGTACCACTGAGCAAGTAAGAAGCATAACTGACTTAGATAACTAAGTATACATTGTTCGTGAACTGTGAATTCTCGTGCAGTGTCAGATGAACAGACTTGCTGGTCATCTTCTATTCCTAACGATTTGGAAATCAACGTGAACCAGTCAGCTACATTTTTCAATTGTAACTTTTCACTCTCATTCAGTTTGAACATATGTAAAATGGAATCAGTTGAAGTAACTGTATTAATTGCAGTCAGAGCTGATTTGTTTCATTGGTTGTATAGACAATTCGTTTGTCCAGTTTAGTGAGATTATAAATAGTTTGCTAATGTAATCGATTTGTGTTTGTTATTTATCCATAAATGCATAAATAGATGCTTTTGTTTCAAAAATTCATTACGACTGATCCAGTGATATGTGGAAATTTCTTTGTGTTCTTTTGTTGGATATGATTTCGCAAAAACTATTGAACTATTTAATTTGTAATGGACTGAAAATCATTGAGTAAATAATGAGACGAGGATGTCAGAAAAACAATTTATAATGTTGCCTATTTATTGGATGAATATCACAATGAAGTTTTAGTGTTGCAGTAGTTAAAATAGTGATATTGGTTTATGTAAAAGCTTTCTATGGACATTGACTCACTTGAGGCTCAAATTCTAACCAGTGTAACTCATTTGTTTATACTCTGAAATATTTGTTGATGAATCGAGAGAAAATTTCCATTCTTGTAAGAACAATGAACAATTTGCTTTACTTGAAAGTTGCTTATTAATTATATATTGAATTGCTACTAATAATTTATGCCATTATGTACATGAACTTTAAACACTAACATATGTTCATGTTGAAAAATTAAACAATGTGAATCAAACTGGACTATCAGACTGATATATACATGTAGATATATATATCGAATAAAGTTCATACATTTTTTTGAAAGTAACATTTATTCGTTAAAAAATCCTGGTTTTGTAGCTTTTCACACGGACTTAGTGTAGACCGTCAATTTTTGTTCATGTTAACTGCTATTGACCAAAGATTCATACTAAATGATTGTGAATCTTCAAAATTGGTTCTTCACAACGGTTCTTTTCATGACAATCGAGGTCAGAATAAGTTTGCACATGTCAATGTCATGATATTTTTAGTGAACTCGATTCTGCTTGAGGCACCTCTATGTTGATTTATATTAACGAAAGCGGAAATAAAAAATGTCTGAATTTATTATGAAGTAGTTTAGTTTAAGTTTGAGTGTATATGAAAATTGTGTGAACAATGTGATTCTTTGGCAAAGCATTATATCGAAAATATCGAAGTATTCTATAAACGCTTAGGCTAACTGACACGATTTGTGGTTGCAAATATATTTGATTTTTGTAGTTACTTAGACAAACCAACTCTTGACCTTCACAGTAAGAAAGGCTATGTAAATAAAGGATATTGATGGAAATTTCTTGCAGTTCTAGAATAAATTGAGTCAACTTCTGTAAAAAAATATTCGAAATTATTTAAGTTTCGCAGTTATGCTGTTTAAATAACCTATCACCTTTTACGCATTGAAATGATTGGAACACGATTAGAAACCTGAAACCTTTGAAAGACGGACTTCAAGTTCTGATATGAGACTCATCAAAATTGCGCATCCATGGCTCCCCGAATTCGCAGGATCCGACCTCAAGACCTTCTGTGTTCCACGCGAACACACAAACTCTGGACCACCGACCCGGTATATGACGGTGATAACGTCCAATTCTAATCAAACTAGGGGTTGACCGCGAATTCACGCTTGATCTACGGTCTTTATTACTTACACACAACAGGGTTAAACTGCACTGGTCACGTCACCCAAATTAACTCTTTTTGTAAGTGAAAAGTGATTTGTAAAAATTGCATCAATTATCGATTTTTCTCATTCACGTTTTACTGGTCTCCTTTCAAATTCGATTAAAAGTCATGATGATGATGATGACTAGTTTTGATCGATGTCAACTATTCCCACTTATATAATCGTAATGTAGTTTGAGCTCATATCTGTCAAATTTGACGAGAATCGTCATATATTCAACAAATTGTAAAGATGTTATGCATGACAGTGATTACAAACAAAAACATTCAATGATTTCCCTCTACTTTATTTTGTCTTGTTTTTACAGATACTGAAACTAGTTGTTGTCTATGCAATTCTACTGCTTATAATGGTAATTGAGAAACCTTGAAATTGAAATGACCTAAAGATTGAGAAACAATAACAGACATTCTGATGTGAATTTGAGATTTAATGACACATTTTGAAACTCGGTAATGGTTAAGTGAATACAGTTGATAAAACATTGTATTGATGAAAAGATATACGAGATTATTGTCAGAAAATAAAATGTACAAAGTTCACACAGAATACAATGTATATATAATCCTTATATTGATCAGATGTTCATACTTGTCATACTTACTGCACATAATTTATGCTTAATTAATACAAAAACATGTTGACCTGGATTGTCACTGCACGGGAAAATACAAACTCAGTATTACATTGACTAATATGATACACTGAGAATAAAATCATTGTCAAAATTTCACAATGGGAATAAAGATAATGTCATAAGGTGCACAGAGAATTACACAGAAGCAATCAACTTGTTTGATTGTCTTGACTAATCCACAATGGGTTACGTCGATGAGAATTAAAAATACAATTTGATCAACACAGACACCATGTTAAAGGTATTTGAAGAACAAAAAGGTCTTATTATTATTTTCTCCTTTTACACCTGATGGAGCATAAGCCGTCAATCAGCATTCTCGTACCATTTTCTATGATTTATAATGTTATTCTTTCTGCAATATCTGTGTATTCCGGAAGAACATTGACGAATATGTTACACTGAGAATAAAGCTGATGTCATAGGATGTCATAATGAATTGCAGAGAAGCCATCAACATGTATACTTATCTTGACTAATCCACAAGGGGTTACGTCAATTAGAAATGAAAAGAAAAAAGGTATTTGTAGAATAAAAATGTCTTATTACATTACAAATGGATCATCACATACACTATGTTAAGTGTGTTTGTATAGAATCAAAGCGTCCTTTTTATTATTATTTACTCCTTTTAACCCTGATGGAGCATAAGCCGTCGATCAACTTTATCCAACCTTCTTATATCATTTATAATGGTAATCTTTGTGTAACATCTGTGTACTCTAGAAGAACGTTATTTCTCTTAAAGTTGTGTATCAGCTCTCACTTATATCAATCATTTCGAAATGATAAATAATGAAAGATGAAATGTTCTCAGCTATTGAACTTTGAGTTAATCCAACGTTTCGATTATTAATCTTTTTCAAACTTTTTCAAAATATTAATGATTATATTGCCTTTGTTCGTCGCTATTTCGACAAATATAATTTCCAACTTGACAACTTTCATTTAGTGTGCAATCAACTGCTATGAAACTATTCACTGAAATACTCATAGCGAATGATGTGACAATTTTTCATGTACACTAAATGTACACAACTACTGACGACAGTGAATATTTTAGTTTTATTTATAATATTAATCTAAATTATTTTAATGACTTCATTTTCCACTTGGTTTATCAGTTAATGAATAATAGTTCATGATGAAATAATACTTTTCGTATGCATATTTTTCTTTCGATATCATTCGCATGTCAGTATTTGCTTTAGTCGCATGAATAAGAAGAGGTTCTAAGTAAAACTTGCATTGAAAAAAGGACTAGATTTGCTTCAAATTCATTTACAACCTGGTGCCATCAAGTCCTCAAATAGTATCATTTCTGACTCAAGTTCATTGTGTTTGATTTCCAAATTGAACACTCCGTAATTTTCTCACTTTTCCCAGTTCAGCAGTCAAATCTCAAGTGTATTTATTTAGGTAATTGAGTAGGACATAAATGCATAGTTTGTTTCTGAATTGGAAAACATTTTAGTGGACTTCGTGATTATCAAAACGATATAATTCTATCAATATCTACAGAGACAACGAGTAATAATCAAATTTTACAAATGGTTGACTGTATCTAGTAGTTTTTGTCTACTTCTTCTTCGTTTTAAGGCAGTATTCACATTCCTTTCACTAGTTTGAAAATAGAATGTCAACTTACAGGATGGACTGTTTCTTCAGTATTGTTCGTCATATTTACATTAGTAGGAGAAGGGATTTGCGAACGATCTATACCTAAAAATATTTGATTCCTTGTATTGTTTCTTTTAGTTGTTAATATCTCCATCATAGCTGTGTTCATTTCTAACCATTTTAAACAAACAGTGTGTTGTGGAGAATGGACTTTGTATACATTATTTCACTTTACACAATTTATTGAGTCAACTTTTTTTGAAAAAATCTTGAGTGTTTTTGAAGATTTGTAAACTGTTGTGTATTTCACTTTTGTTTCAGTAGATAATGATCGCTTGTATAGTAATTTCAGCCATTTCGATAATCTTTTTATGTCGGGTGTAAATTTCGTTTCTTTGAATGAATGCTGTATAAAGTCTATCTTCAAACTGCTCATTGTACTATCTTTGATTACGTAAACCTAATCTTATAACCTATTAACAGAAAGGTGAATTGCTTTGAATTATGCATCACTCACTAGGGTTCGTTAGATAACTAGCGAAAATCGAGAAACATAGGACAGTTATTTCTTCTTACTCTATGAATCTTCACAACTACATTAATTATTGAAGAAAATATTCTTTAAAGTTAGCATTTACCATTTCCTACACTTCTATTCTTAAACATATGTAATAAATTTAATTGCAATAGCATATTCAGAGTATGATCTAATCTGATTGCTGTTTACTATTGTACTTGTAAGGTTTTAGCTGACTTCATTACTATTTTATGTGAGACAACCAAGGTAACAGTTGAACTGTTCTGAATATTACTAGAAAGCATGTCGAATTAAATTATCATGAGGTGTATATAAATATATATCATCTGTCACTGATGATATATGGTTTCATCTCTTCTACTACCACAACCTAATCCTGTTATCTTGTTTAGAGTTTCGGTCACCGACTTGCAAATGTCCTGGCTTCGATTTCATAATCCATACATTTACATCTGCCTCAGAAACGTTCTGTTACATGACGAAGTTTACTTCGCATGCAATAAGCTGCTGTCTGTTACAGAACGTCATTCCTACTCATTGTGTTGAATCACAAGATCGTACTCCTTTAAATCATGAAGTGATCCTTATTAGACCAATAGTATTTGCACTATATGTGTGAACTACCATTGATGCACACCATTTCCATTCAGTCCTGTTTAACAGATATCGCGATAATTTGGATTAGTCATTAATGGTAGCAATTGTGAGAATAATGCACATTTTTTTAGAAAGGAATAAATGATATACGATCTTCCCACGAACGCTCAACCAAATCTACCATTTACAATTGAACGCGAATATAACAGTATTTGTTCTTTTCTAGTTCTCATCATCCAAAATATTTATAACGGTCGGATAATATAAAAGTATATTTGTTGGGCATTACTTCAACGCATTAAAATGACTCCTTTTTCATTTGGCTGTGAACAGTATTTATGAAAAGACATTCGTTATGTCAGCTGAATGAAAATTCAACGAATAACCATCATTTCGGAACAAGATAACTATGAAAGTTCACTGAAGTGCAAAGCAGTAAACTGAACATCATATGAGCAGTCAAGTTTTAGAATTATTTAGTCACTAAAGTAGTCCTTACCAATTCGTTCAATCAGTAACTATGTAATTTATATAGGACTCAGTACATTATGCTAGACTAAATGACTAGTACTCCTCTTCTACATCGCTCGACCAAGTTACATTGATAAAATATTGCTATCAGAAAAGGAATCATGTTAAATAACAGCACGTTTCAATCGATTATACTTCCCCATGACGTGTTTGAACAGTTGAAAAAGGATCAAAAAAATGAAAACACATTTATTAAAGTTCCAACAATATTCCAAATTGATCTTGATAAAATGTTTGATTAGTCGATTTGGCATTATTTTCAGTTGAACAATTGTTGAATGTGTTGTTAGTAAACTGTAAGAAATTTGAATACCCTGTAATTTGTTGTAGCATCAATGTAATGTATAATAATAAAGAGGCTAAACAAGCATCATCATCAGTAAGACGAAATTTTCCAAGTGTTGCTTGACCCACAGTCATATTTAACTGGAAGTGAAATCAAATGTACATGAAAGATTTATGATGTGCAAACAAATGTTAAATAATATTACCAATTCGAAAAGCTTCAATTTTAAACAGACTACCACCTCACTTATCTCGTTTACCCAGTATTATTTTCTAACAAATTGGAACAGTCAAATCTATTCGGTCACTTTTGGTGGGAAATGTAATGTCAGAAGAGAACAATTATGAACTGCTTCCCAGTTTTCAGTGTTTATCTGAATGAGATTAGTCCATGATATGATCTGTTTGCATGCATACATATTTGAAATGTTTTAATTAGTTTTATTGTAGTTCATGTGTGTGTGTAGATCAGTGTAAAACCAGTTCATGTGTCAAGTCAACATGTGTATGCTGTAGGAGAATTCGTAGGAGAATTAGACCATGCAGAAAATACGAATAACAATCAATCATCTCTTAATAAATGCATTTCTTGATAATATTCCGTCGAATTATATGTCACTTTTAAAATGAACACATGACTAAGGTTATAAAACTGTACGGTTGAGTGGTATTTATATATCTATGTGGTTTGATAGCCTATTATTGTGCAATAGGACTTGGAACACTTTACATTGCTAACCATTCGAATTAGAGAATTCTTTTGTAATAATCAAAAATAACTAAATGAAATTGTTGTTGTGTACTCGATTCTGAATGAATAAAAAAATTTCCAAATTCCTATCTGCCAAACAAATTCATACATGTAAATACCTTATACGACAACAAATTATTGACGACTATCAACAGAGTTGAAAACAAACATCTACAATTAGTTCCATCACAGTTGTGTTGGTTTAGCATGTTGATTTCTCTTACGACTCAATGACATACTGAATTCAATTAATGAAATGAACTATGCCATATTTAATCGACAAATGATTCATGATGCAGTAAATCACACATGGAATCACAACAATAATAATAATGCTTACACTTATTATCAAGTGAGAGATATTTAACTCACCAAGGTTAATAAAGCGATTGCGACTAGATCAAGTATGATTAATGAGATGAGTGCTGGCTGAAATAGAAATGAAATAATCAATATTCATATATGTATCCCAACATATCCTGGATCTCTTAAAGGGTTCCTTGAGAGTTAGTTAATTGAATGGAAATATGCTACATTAGCTAGGTAGATTATTCCTAATTACTAGAAAATTATATACTAGCAGAGTTTATATGCCATGTCAATCGAAAAATGGTTCATGCAAATGAAATCACTACAATAATAATCCATACACTTATTATTAGGTGACAGATATTTAACTTACCTCGGCGACTTGTTCAAGTGTAATTGGTGCTGGCTGAAATGGAAATGGAACGGTCAATATTAATATATGAATCCCAGTGTATCCTACATCTATTAATAGAATTGTTTGAGAGTAAGTCAAGTGAATGGAAATATACTACAATAGCTATTAGATTATTCCTAATTACTAAACATTTACAATATATCTGAGTTTATATAAATATCACGAACCACTGTGTACATAAAATTCAGTTTAATTTAAAAACACATACCTTCTTTTTAAACAAAGCCGCAATAAGAATACCGACCACATTAAGAGTACACGAGATGGTAAGAATCGTCAAAAGCCATTTCTTGTTAGTTGGTAAAAGTTTCGGAAGAGAATCTCCAATTGTTGTGAATATGAAAAACCATGTCAAAGCAACTGACCACGCTGCAATTTGATATGTAATGTCCGGGCACCTGAATAGAATAATTACCATTAAGGAAGTGATTACAGCCTGAAAACAAGAAGAAAGTCAATATTTCTCTTAGTTTTTATTGGAAATATTCATAGTTTTCAAGTGACTATGATTTGATCATTATTTCTCATAGTGCAAAGCATAAATTGACCTTCACTAGCCCACTATTAGAAACATAGAAGCATCGGACGTCTGTTTCGTCTTAGTATGAGACTTATCAGCAGTGTGCTCCAACCAAGTGGACAAGCGTGAATAGAAACGAACATCTTGGGTCTTGCACTCGATTGCTTGAAATCTAGAAAACTGTGTTATCACTCATTGATGTCAATATATCAATCCGCGATATTTAGCGACTTTCAGTGGTTGTTTGTGGCGAATAACTGTCTGTGACCTGACTCGGATTGAACTTTACTGAAAACTAGTGAGCACATGATCGATATTCATGAAGAGGATTTATGCAGATCATGTTATTTTCATAGTAGAATAATCACAGATTTCTAAGATCATTTCGAGTTTTGAAACACAAAAGTGATAATCGAGAGTTCAAGAGAGGTAAGTGGTAGAAGTCATATGTAAAAAGGATGAATGGCTACTGGATAGTGATAATAATTACTAACAATGAACATAAGGTAACATTTGAAAGATGCGAAAAATGACACCAGCCTCAATGACAATTATATGGTAAATTCGCGGAAAAATGATGAATTGCAAATATCTCCTTTTTTTCTACACCATTCAGATTACTAGCGCCTCTTCATAGTACAAGCGATTATTTTATGCTCACTTCCACCTGAATCATCGTGCTGTATAAATGAAGACTAGCTAGGTGAAGCTATGTGACAAACGTTCATAAAAGTGTATCACTCTACAGTTTGAGAAAATGTTTTTTCTTACTTTGGAACCATCAATAAATCATCAGTCCACATGTAACGGTTGGTGCACACGACAGAAGTTCCTTGTGAGAACCTTGAGTCGAGGTGATCTATCGTTGATTAACAGATCATTTCAATGTGTTAAAACACTGCTCTCCATAACTCTGATTGAAATAATCAGTTGTTTTGGTTTTTTGAATGACATTATGGAATAATTTGGTTATTTTCAGGTAATAAACTTCTATATTTTCAATATTTTCATGGTTGTTTGCAATGAAATATCAGATATTGACTTACATAAATCAAAGAATCATCAAGTGATTTCAGTTAATTAAATAGATATTCCTGCTCATATTAAAGCCTCTTAAAGTGTATTGACCTAGACGAAATTCGATTGCCTTTAATTCAAATCAGACAGTTTTGAAACAAAACTATATTGACGATATTGAAAAATCCGTAAAAATAATGTATTCAGATTTCGATTTGTAGAATGAAATATAACGATGGTTGGCTGAGTTGATCGATAGAAAATAATCTGCCCTATAAACTTTTAAAATATATTCAGTCTTAAGTGCAGACAAATAACTGAAGTGATTTAGTTGGTTGGTTATATACTAGGAGGTCACGAATTACAAGTTGATTGAAAATGGGAAAATGTACATTACAATCTTACGTATAACAGTAACATGAATAAATTTAGTGGAAACATCAGTCTTATTTTCTTTACAAGAATCAGTAAGATTACCATCCCAATATCTAAAACGCTGAAACGTATTTAAAAACAGTACAGTAAAATATGATGAAATGTTGGAAAATAATAATCTGTCGCATGCCATTAAATTTCATTTTTAATTTTTTATAAAAATTCATTAACCCGACTAAAGTCAACTAAGAAGTGTATGTTTGGATCCCAATCCAGTACATCATTTCAACATATACTAATCTAAATTTCATGGAGCACCACAACAACTGGATAAATCATAACTAGTCTAATAACATTTTGATCAATAAAACTTTTGGTCCGAAAAACATTCAGATCAAGGTAAAACCTATTTTTTCTACTCAAACTTACTAACATTCGAAATCTTGAACACTAAACACTTGATATAATCAACACTGCAAAATGTTAACTAAAAATCAAACGTTGGGTGTTTGTTATCTTCATTTTGTCAAAATTATCGATTCTTTTCAAAAATACACGAAAATGCACAACTTTCTAAAAATAATTCGATTGCTCAATAGACTCAAAACCGTATTCTAAATTATACATAAGATTGTTGCATTGAAAATTAGTGAGGTTAGTGTTTGCATAGTCGTTTCAGTTCTAATTGTTACCATTAATTGAGACAAGAACTCACGGTATTCAGAGAAGTATCATTTAAAATACTGCAAGATACCATTCAAGTGAATCAATGAGATTTTACATGTAATTCATACACTAATAACAACATTGAAAAACAAAATACCATTTTCAGATGATGGTATTTTATGAAACAAATGGCTTACATGAACACAACCTCAAGCGATATCCAAACATTCATTTTATTTGTATGAAACTGTGGTCTATAAATGAATGATCCATACAATCTTATGAACTTACATTTGTGACAATCCAAGTGTTATCGCAATCGATAACAATATTTGCAATGTGAGAAAAAGTACTATCTGAAATAATTCAATATCAAAGGAATGACTTTCACTTGTCCACGATATTTCTTTTCACTTAACAAAAAATCCTTCTCGACTGTCATTAAGTTTTGCATATGGAACATATTTAGGAGTAGACTATAGATGTTTTGACAGGTATTTGATCATTTCCTTGTTTGATTTGCGAATCCGATTAGTATACACGGTCGAAGAGGAATCGAAATCCTGAAATAGAATATCAAAGTGTACCGCTTTAATATTTAACTAGTGATGCTTGTATAAGGCTCAAATTTTAGAAAGTAATAAATAAGTTTTATAATATTTAAAATGTGACAGGTTTGTATATTGCAGTACGATTATTCAGACTTCATGAAAACGTGGTTTCCTATTTGTTTGCGAATTATCTGAAAGGAGATTGTATGTACCAAATAAGAAAATCAAACGTAACTGAATTGGACAACTAGATATTAGATGTTCATGATTTGTGAGTTCATGCGTAATCTCATATGAGGAGACTTGATTGACAGCTTCTATTCTTAACGATTTGGAAATCAACGTTAACCAGTCTACTTCAATTTTCAGTTGTAATTTTCCACTCATTCATTTTGAACACATGTAGAATGAAATAACTGTAATATTTACAGACAGAATCAACTTGTAGCATCAGTTGTATGGACAATTCATTTGTACAGTCTAATAACACTATGAATAGTTTCATTTTCATTTTAAGACTCTTGATTATTTGATCAATTTTTACTTGCTACCAATCCGTAAGTGCATCAATAGATGTTTTTTTCCAAAATTCATTACCACTGATCCAGTGTTATGTAGAAATCTCCTTCTATTCTATTGTCGAAGAAGACTTCACAAAATCCATTCAATCATTTAATTTGCGATGGACTGATAATCATCGAGTGAATATTGAGAAATGGATGTCAATAAAACAATTTAGAATTGAGAATGACTATGGGTTCATCATTCTCATTATATATCTGAAGGAACTTTTATTGTAGCAGTAATCAAAATAGTGATATTATTTTATATGAGAACTTTCTAACAATATTTGCTTACTTAAGTCTCAAATTCTAGACAGTGTAATTTCATTTGTTTATGCTCTGAAATATTTGTTAATGAATTGAGAGAATAGTTCCATTCCTGCAAAAACAATGAACGATTTGTAAATCTGGAAAATGGTTGGTTTGATTTATTGAACTGCAAATAAGGATTTATGCCAATCAGTAAATGAACTTTAAACAGTATTATATTTTCATGTTCAAAATTAAAGATTGTGGATACAATTGTTCTAATCGAATAGAGGTATTGTATGTATATATTATTTCGAATAAAGTTCATACATTTTTCAAAAGTAACATTTGATCGGTAGGAAATCGTGTTTTTGTAGGTTTTTGCATGGACTTAATGTGGACCGTCAATTTTTTATTATATTATCATTTCATGGGTTAATACACTGCTATTGACCAACGAATCATACGAGATGATTGCTCTGAATATCTCAAATGTAATATAAAAGCCCACAGCAGAAAATCCTGATGTGAAGAAGACTGAAAACAATCAACCACCTGAGGCATCTGAGTAATGCACCAACACTGGTACAGACAAAGTCTAAAAAACAGTGCATGTAAAAAGTAGGATATACAGTGATTGGCCGTGACTACAGACCAACAAATTTTCCATGGACAGAAGAGGGAGTGGTCAGAAGATTTGGCTGTGCTGTTTACGAAGTGGAGTTAGGAGGCGATAGATAGTCAAACCATCATAATCAGATGAGCAAACGGCTAACCCGAGATCGTCCATCAACAGCAGTAAATCTTCCTTTTACCATATCTTCAACTCACCCGTAGCCTCATCACTAGGAAAAGGTCAACAACAAGCTGATCTTTAATCTAATTATCATCATTTACACATTGAAATCATCAATCAATGATTGTTGAAACACGATTAGAAACCTGAAACCGCTGAAAGACGGTCTCCAAGTATCGAGATGAGACTCATCAGTCTTGCATATACGCGGCTCCCCCAAATCTCAGGATTCCATCTCAGGACCTTCTGTGTTGTGCGCGAACGCCTAACCCCTAGACCACGGAGCCGGCATATGACGGTGTTAACGTTCAATTCTAATCAAAGGTTTGCACGCTACGTCACCGTTTGTGTTTGGCAGCTTTGACTACACACGTCAGTGTTGCACTGCACTATTTTTTGTAACTGAAAAGTGATTAATATCAATTGTTTCAGTTATCGATTTTTCTTATTTAAGTTTTACTGATCTACTTTCAAATTCGATTAAAAGTCATGATGATGATGATGACTAGTTTTGATCGATGTCAACTATTCCCACTTATATAATCGTAATGTAGTTTGAGCTCATATCTGTCAAATTTGACGAGAATCGTCATATATTCAACAAATTGTAAAGATGTTATGCATGACAGTGATTACAAACAAAAACATTCAATGATTTCCCTCTACTTTATTTTGTCTTGTTTTTACAGATACTGAAACTAGTTGTTGTCTATGCAATTCTACTGCTTATAATGGTAATTGAGAAACCTTGAAATTGAAATGACCTAAAGATTGAGAAACAATAACAGACATTCTGATGTGAATTTGAGATTTAATGACACATTTTGAAACTCGGTAATGGTTAAGTGAATACAGTTGATAAAACATTGTATTGATGAAAAGATATACGAGATTATTGTCAGAAAATAAAATGTACAAAGTTCACACAGAATACAATGTATATATAATCCTTATATTGATCAGATGTTCATACTTGTCATACTTACTGCACATAATTTATGCTTAATTAATACAAAAACATGTTGACCTGGATTGTCACTGCACGGGAAAATACAAACTCAGTATTACATTGACTAATATGATACACTGAGAATAAAATCATTGTCAAAATTTCACAATGGGAATAAAGATAATATCATAAGGTGCACAGAGAATTACACAGAAGCTATCAGGTTGTTTGCTTAGGGTCCCATTCTTATTATTATTTTCTCCTTTTGCCCCTGATGGAGCATAAGCCGTCAATCAGCATTCTCGTACCATTTTCTATGATTTATAATGTTAATCTTTGTGTAAAATCTGTGTATTCTGGAAGAACGTTAATTTTTCATATTTGTATACTTGTTCTCAGTTTTACCAAATATTTCGAAGTGATAAATCGTGAAAGAGGAAAAGTAATTTGCGTTTCAGCTTTGAGTTAATTCAACGCTTCGATTGGCATTTTTGTTGAAGCTTTTTCAAAATAATAACATTATTATTAATATTGCATTTACTCAAAGTTTAATCATTGATATTTTTAGAAATATAGTTTCCACCATAATGACATTAACTCAGCAAGGAAGTCTGTGAAACTGTACATTGAAAACTAGATGAAAGCTCTCTTAGCAAATGATGTTACGAGTTTTCACGTAGACTAAATGTATACATTCACTGACAACCAATATCTGATTTAATTTCATAATATTTAAGTTTATTACATTTGAAATTATATCAGTGGTTTAGATTTAAATTACACGAACTTTTTGTTCAATAAACATGTTTGCTCTTCTTCAGGGTAATATTTAACGTCTAGCAATCAAGTCAAGTTTACGCTAAATGCTGATTCAATCACTTTCAGATGTAGGTAATCAGGATGATATGAGGCAGTAAGATTTGAATCAAGTGCAAAGTTCGTTCTATTAAAAAAAGTGAACGTATGAACAATCGAGTGTGTGCTTGTATGTATGTGTAACTTTGTAATTATTGGTTGATATTCCGTGGATGAATGTTATTCATTTGTCTATTTGAAAATAATCAATTCCGTTTAGGCTGCTCTGATCATCACTCCGCCTGGAACTCTCCTGAGGCTACTTGCCAGTCCCAAGCCCAGGTAAAAGAGGAGTAATTGGCTAGGGACTAGGGACACCACCCTGTAGAAAACTAACTCGCTAAAAACCGCTAACCGAAAGGTCGGCGGCCTCTGCTCTATTGAGGGTAGCAGGAGTAAGTCAATAATTAAGTAAC